TCTTTCCTTCCAGGAGTCTGGAATTTTGATGCATGCTAGGCCAAGGGTGCTTACATGACCAACCCCCAGTAAAGATACTGGGCACTGGGTTTCTAATGAGCTTCCTTGGTTGGCAGCATTTCACACACACTGTCACCACTTATTGCTGGAGGAAGTAAGTGTGTCCTCTGTGACTCCACTGGGAGAGGACTCTTGGAGGCTTATGCCTGGTTTCCCGTGCACCTTTTCCCTTTGCTGATTCTGCTTTGTATCCCTTCACTCTAATAAATAAAAGCTGTGAGTACAACTAAATGCTGAGTCCTGCGAGTCCTCCTAGCAAGTCATCAAACCTGGGGTGGTCTTGGGAACCCCCCTTACAATCCTACTTTAGCTTCAGCTTTATGGAGACCAGAAAATCAGCCTCTCCAGCTCTGAGCTCTTTCCAGCACCAGTCCTTTGTTTCATCAGTAAAATTGGGTACACTACACCCTATCTCAAAGGGTTCTTTGTGAATTATAAATAAGAAAGTATGTTAATTTATTATTTTACTCAATAAATAGTTGCCTCCTATGTGCCAGGTACGGTTTTAAACAATGGGGACATATGGTAGACAGACAAAGATATTCATATTCTAATTCCTAGAACTTGTAAATATGTTACATGGCAAAAGGGACTTTGGAGATGTGATTAAATTAAGGATCTATGGATTATCCGGCTGAGCCCGATGTAATCACAAGGGTCCTTATAAGAGGGAGGCAAGAGTCAAACCCTCAGTGAGATGGACTGACACAATAGCTGCACACTGGACTCAAACATACAAACGATCATGAAGAATGGTGCAGGACTGGGCATCGTTTCGTTCTGTCATATATATAATGTCATCATGAGTCAGAGCCGACTCAATGGCAAATAACAAGAGAGTTAAAGTCAGAGAAGAAAATACAACACGGACACTGAAATCTGAGAGAGATTTGAAGATGCTACCGCAGTGGTTTTGAAGATGGAGAAAGGGGCCACAAGCCAAGGAATGCAGGTGGCTTCTAGAAGCTGGAGTAGGAAGGGAACAGATTCTCCCCTGGAGCCCCCAGAAGAACCAGCCCTGCTTACAACTTCAGCCCAGTGAGACAGATCTTGGATTTATCTCCAAAACTGTAATATAATTTTGTGTTATTTAAAGCCAGTATATTTGTGGCCATTTGTTACAGCATCAATAGGAAGTGAATACAGGATACGGGATGAACAAGATCAACAAGGTCCCTGCCCTTATTGAGTTTAGAGGCCAGTGGGGAAGACTGACAGTAAAAATAATAATTACAGATTTGGTAAGCACCATGAAGGAAATGGATTAGGTGTTGGTGGAGAGTAACAGGAAATCCTACTTTAGACAGAGTGGTCAGAGAAGGCCTTTCTGAAACAAGGACGTATAAACTGAGAGCTACATGGCTAAGGAGACAGCCAGGTGGAAAGCTGGACGCATGACATTCTAGGCAAAGGGAACTGTAAGCATGAGGCCCTGGGGCAAGAACTTGCAGTTCCGGGAACTGGCAGAAGGCCAGCATGACGAGCTTAGTGAGGCAGAGAGTGGCATGAGATGCGGCAGGAGATGTAGGCAAGGGCTAGGCCAGGCAAGTCTGGTGAGGCAAGGGTAAGAACTCTGAATTTCGTTCTAAATGCAACGAGAGGTCCCTGAACAGTGGTTTAACACTGTGCCTGGTACACTGTGAGCACTCAGTGTGTTTATTATTGAGCACCATCACCAGGATGTCCTGTCAGAAATCAGTTTCAACATACCTGAAATCAAAACCAGCCACCTTTTCTCTGTAATCCTTTCCTGTTTGAGTCAACTATTTTCTAAGGCACTCCACTTCTTCCTCTCACCTATTCAGTCATCTTTAACTCTTCATTCTCCCTGTTCCCTTTCTGCCAGTTCATTTTTTTTTTCTTATTTGATCCAGAGCTAATTACTGGATCTTGCTGAGTGTATTTCTTCCTCTCCAAAATGGGGATAATAATACCTTATAAGATTAAGAAGAGTAAATGAGCTAAGTGCTTGTAAATTTCTTAGCATGTATCTAGCATGTAGTAAAAACTCATTAAAGGTTGACTTTATAACTTTGGGCTTTGAAATAGGGTAGTAGTAGTAGTGTCAGAACCTGTCTAGATTTACAAGGGTGAAGGGTAATCACCATGAGCCCAAAGCTGATTCCTATGAGGTTGAAGTCAGACATACTTACCACTCTCCAACTTTTTTTTTTTTTTTTACCAATTCTGACACCAGCCATCCCTTCCACAGCACTCTCTACTTCTCTGCTGGGTTTGATAATTCATTGCAGTGGTCACAGAGAACTCACAAACCATACTCACGATTATGGGGTTTATTAGGGAAGTAACAGATTACAATTCAGGATCAAGATCAATTTGGAAGTAACAGGAGAAACTCAGGAGACAGGATGTAGTTTGTCAATCGGACAGCTTCCAACCAAGACAGCTCTCAGCTACTTCTTGGTCGTGCTAGCAGGCAGGCCATGCTCAGGTCTCTGCTGCTGGGCCCTGCTTGGCCTGGCATCTGCCCTGGTCAAGCAAGTGTTACAACTCTTTAGCTCCACATAGTGCCCAGAGGCACCCCACTCCGCCAGCAAGCCTCCTGCTCGAAGGCGCTCAGCTCTTACTCCATGGGTCGGCAAGCTCCACTGCAGCCATCTCGCGCCGGTTTCCTGGTTCCCACTGTCTTGTGTTGCTGCCACTCTTCCTGCACCATCTCTCGCCATTTTCAGTGTCTATAGCTCTCTCTCCCGGGTCTAGGAGCTACTCAGCACAGGGACCTTGTGTCCAAAGGAACACTCCACTCCAGGTTATTTTCTTTTTAAATAATATTTTATTGTGTTTTCGGTGAAAGTTTACACAGCAAATTAGGTTCCACTCCAGGCTCTTCTTCTAGATGGTAGTGAGGACCCCCTCAACCTCTGTGGGATTGGCTCTTTTAAGCCTAGCAGAATGGCAAAGCTGACCAATCCCCTCAAGTAGGCCACAGCCACCTAGTCTGCATAGTAACTGACCAATCCTTGCAGGGGTTTTACAGTTTATTTGCATAGTAAGACTAACCAATCCTTTGCAGGATTGTTGCCTAGCAACTCATCTTAGCAGAACTAAAAACCCAGGGCCAGGATGCCATTATTTAAAGAGAAACCTGTTGTCATAGATGAGCACAAGAAAGTTTTGGTAGTCGGTCTACCTCAGATTAATCTTAAAGCTCCAAACTCATTCTATTAACAGAAGAGGACCTAGGATTCCTGAAAAGCAGACATTCAAGTTCCTTAAGTTAGCTGTCCTATCTTCCAGCTTTTTCAAGTCCTACCTCACAGAGAAAACTATATCATTTACACGTAAAATTGTTTTTATCTCTTTGTCATTGCCATTCCCTCTGCCTGGAAACCCCTCATCTCTCTTATTGCAAATATCCCATCTATCTTTGGAGGCCCAGTTCATACCACTGAACTCCCTTGTGTTATATATTCATCCATTTAGCAAGTATTTATTGAATGCCAGCTATGTTTTAGGAACTGCTCTAGTTGTTGTGGTTACATCTGTGAATAAGACAAAGCTCCTGCCCTCACAGAGTTTATATACTAGTGGGGGAGACACAAAATAAAAGAAACATATATACTCTGTGTCAGGTATTGGTGGAGCCCCTGGTGGCACAGTGGTTAAGAGCTCAGCTGCTAACGAAAGGGTTGGCAGTTTGAATCCACCAGCCACTCCTTGGAAACCCTATGGGGCAGTTCTACTCTGTCCTCTAGGGTCACTGTGAATTGGAATCAACTCAGTGGCAGCTGGTTTTGCTTTTTTTTTGTTTTGGGGCAGGTATTGGTAAAGACAACATACATGCATATTCCTTCTATTAAAGTACAAGCTCAAGGGCTGAGCCATGTCTTAATTCAAAATCCTCACATAGCACCTTACACTTTGTAGATGCTTAGAATTTTTGAATAAATGATAAATTCTAGATTTTTTTATACTGTCAGTTATTAAATTGTTGAAGAACAGGACCGGCATTCAGTCAACAAAATGAAGTCTTTTGTACCTGTGCATAATTTTGTTGCTGAGAACTACAAAGGTTGAAGAGAAGATAATGCTGCCCTGTGCTTTCAAACAGTTAAGGCTATTTTCTGGCCAAACGTGCCTATTTCTGTGGTGGCCTAGGGGTTATGAGTATAGGCTCTCAGTTGGAATCCTGAATTTAAACGGTGAGTCTGCTAATCCCTTAACATCCGTTACCAGAAAAGCTGTTAATGAGAATTAATTGAGCCCTTGACACACAATAAGTACTTAATAATATTAGCTATTATTTTACTATTATGAGGTAGGAATATGCTTGATTTGTTTCAAATATCAATAAACATTCCTGTGAAAATACAGATATTTCAGGAAGCATCTTGTTATGGATTATGTCCCCAAAAAATGTGTGTCAACTTGGCTTGGCCATGATTCCCAGGATTGTGTGGTTGTCCACCATTTTGTGATCTGATGTGATTATCCTATGTGGTGAGATAGGATTAGAGGCAGTTATGTTAATGAGGCAGAACTCAATCTACAGGATTAAGTTGTATATTGAGTCAATCTCTTTTGAGAATAAAAAAGAGAATCGAGCAGAGAGAAGAGGGACCTCATGCCACCAAGAAAGAAGCCCTGGGAGTGGAGCGTGTCCTCTGAACCCAGGGGACCTACACAGAGAAGCTCCTGGACCAGGGGCAGATTGATGACAAGGATCTTCCCCCAGAACTGACAGAGAAAGCCTTCCCCTGGGGCTGGCATCCTGAATTCAGACTTCTAGCTTCCTAGACTGTGAGAAAATAAATCTGTTTGTTAAAAGCCATCCACTTGTGGTATTTCTGTAAAGCAGTACTAGATAACCAAGACACTTCTGAATGAGAAGCAACTAGTGGAATAAAGGCCTGTTTTAAAAAAAAAAAACAATTTGATAATTGTAAAAAAATTGATATAAAGAATCCAGAGATCCAAACTTTCCTCCAACCAGATTTATTGAATACAACAAAAGTCTATATTTAAAGCAACCTGGACATGCTGCTTCAAAATATGATCCTTTTCTTACCAATATTTTGATAGGTTAATCCACAGAGTGCCAAAAAGCAGCTTACTCTAAAATAAATAGAAAAATGCCCAATGCACACTAAATGAATGGCCTAACTACTGGAACTTTAGTAGTTCTATAAGATAATAAACATGATAGGCTCAAGTCCCTCTGATAGGCTGGAGAACTGATATGGAATGTCAAGAGGCCATTTTGTGCACTGCCACTGTGATGCCATCGTGTTTCTGGATCATAATGTTCCTGAAAGGCAAAGCAGAAGATATTCAGTAAAACTTTACAATTGGGAGCCAGTTTAAGGTTTAAAATGTTATTTTTTTCCAGTTGCTGTGGAGTCGGCCCTGACTCATGGCGACCCCATGTGGGTCAGAGGAGAACTGTGCTTCATAGGGTTTTCAATGGCTGAGTTTTTAGAAGCAGATCACTAGGCTTTTCTTCCAAGGTACCTCTGGGTGGACCTTAATCTCCACACTGTCAGTTAGCAGCTGAGTGTGTTAACTGTTTCTACCACCCAGGGACTACATACGGTTAAAATGTATTTATCATTTTTTCTAACTATAAATGCAGTACTTGTTTATTTGTACAGTAAAATATTTGGGAAATACAGAAAAGTATAAAATATAAAAACGAAATCCCATAATCCTACCACTCAGAGACAACCAGTATTAATATCTTCCTAGTTCTTTTTATCTGCACGTATACTATATATACATTTTTTCTTTTTATGAAACTGATCATATTGTGTATTCTGCTTTTTTTCACCTAATATTATTGAGAAGACCCTGACTTAGAATATCTGTAGTATATTCTATTCCTACAGAAGCAGTTTTGTTCTTTGATTAGTCTTCCTCTGTGCTATTTATTACTTTCTTTATTTTGGTAGCCCGATAGTTCATTATACAGTAAAACCTGCAAAAGCCTGAACCTATGTAAGGCGGAAATCTGTCAGAGAAGGAAAACTCAAATATTTTCCACTGTAACGAGCAATAGAAAAGTGGTAAGACTGGAGCCTGTCAAAGGTGGAAAACTTGCAAGACCCAGAAAAACAAGGCAGTCCCATCGAGTTCTGGCTCTCACAGGTCTCTGTAATTTGTACTCTTCCTTTAAAGTCCTTGTGGCCTGAAAGCACATTAGTTTTAGAGATCAATCTACCTGCCACTGTGGTCCAAAGGGAGAAGAATCTCCTTCAAAGTACTACAGAAAGGAAATCTCTACTCTACTCAGGCCATTACCAGGACTTAGAATGAAGAATCACTGATGAACGCAGGGCAGACCCCATTCCAGTTTCCTCAGGGTTTTTCTCAACAAAAAAGGAAAGAAAGAATCTGCTGACATCTACTTACCCATTGTCTGATTCTAGACATACCACAGGAATATCAGTGGGGTCAGAGGTTAGCTTAGCTGCTTGCTGGGCTAGAACAGAGATCACCCCAGCATGCTCATCTGACAGGGTTCCACGGCCTGGAAGATAAGAGATATCATGTCACCTGTTTGTCCAAAAAATGAGTATGGAGCTAGAAAAGTAGCTCTCATTGAATTATTCAAAGAAGAAGGTTCAGTTCACTGTTCCCTAGTTTAGGTATGGACCTGAAGTGCTTTTGCCCTGATACTCAACTGGTTACTTCATTGAGAAAGCCACACAATGGTTCTTAAATCAATAAAGTGATATTAGATGCTTAATTTTCAAAGTCACTCCCATCACTATCTCTAAACACCTCAAAGATAAAAAGGAGTGGTAATTGAAGTCAATCTGAAAGTCATAAATTCATTTTATAGGAACCTTACTGAAACCGACGAGAAATTCAGTGGTGAGATTGACAAAAAGCAGTCAGTAAGGGCAAGAAACTTGTTGAAACCAATTCCTTCCTTCCTCATGGGAAATCTGATTTCCTTTTACTGAGCTCAACCTCAAAGGATATAAAAGTCTTTACTCAGGACTTTAGACATAAGTATACCTTGACAACATGTGTGAATATTCTGGTGAGCAGTTATTTTAGCTAGAATAAAAATAAGCTGGCTGTTTTCTAATGTCAATAAAATTGGCTTTTTAAAGTATGTTTTAGCCTGTAGATAATAATTAAATCTTGAGTTCTAGAGACAGAAATTAATTACTAGTCTACTTTAAAATATATTTCCATATACAGAGGAAATACAAGCCTAAATGAACCTAAAACTAAGTCAGGTAATAACCGTTGCTGTCGAGTTGATACCAACTCATAGTGACCCTACAGGACGGAGAAGAACTGCTCCAGAAGGTTTCCAAGGAGCAGCTGGTGGACTTGAACTATCGACCTTTTGGTTAGCAGCTGAGCTCTTTTTAACCACTACGCCAACAGAGCTCCAAGTCAGGTAACAGACATGGCCAAAACCAAAAAACAAAACCCATTGCCAAGCAAAAAAACCAAGCCAATTTTATTGACATTTGAAACCCACTGCAGACTCATACGACCCTACAGGACAGAGTAGAACTACCCCACATGGTTTCCAAGGAGCAGCTGGTGGATTTGAACTGCTGACCTTTTGGACAGCAGCCAAGCTCTTAAAACACTGTGCTACCAGAGCTCCTCTCATATACCTAGACCAAAACCAAAACCCTGCTGCTGTCGAGTTGATTCCGACTCATAGTCGGACCTGCAGGGTTTCCAACAGCCGGTTTATTCAAACTGTTGACCTTTTGGTTAGTAGCCAAGCTCTTAACCACTGTGCCACCAGGGCTCCAATAAACATGGCAGGGTCTATGAATTTAGTATTGCTTTGTAAGATATTAAGTGGCCAGACACAGTGCAGCCTTTTGGGCCTTGAAGGTTTTTTGAAAGAACTCATTTGGTTTTAGATTTCCACACTGGAATTCAGCCTTTTCCATTAGGGAGCCTGACAAGTGCTTCAAAAAATTTGCCTCTCTTCCTCCCAACTGACTGATCGGTGTGCAAAAACATAACTAAGTTGCACAGATTACCCCTTTCAGTTACCCACACAGCAAAAATTTAGAGCTTTAAAAATTCTTGCACAAGGAGTTAGGAGTCCTAGGTTTACTAGTTCTGGCATTAATTAACTGAATGCTTTGGTTATTCACCTTTCTGGATTTATTTCCTCATCTGTAATTGCTATCATTTATTTGAGCATTACATCCAGACCCTGGACATATTATATAATTATACAGTATTGTGATTAAGAGGCTCTGGAGCCAGACTCAAATCCTGGCGTAACCACTTACCAGCTGTATGACCTTGGGCAAGTTACTTAATTGCTGTGGTTCAGTTTCTTCATCGTGAAATAGGGAAAATAATATCTACAGGACTACATCACACGACTGTTATGAGGAATAAATGAGTTAATATATATCAAGCACTTAGAATGGTACCTGGCACACAGTAAGAGCTCAATAAATGCAGTTCTTTAGTAAAATTATTAGACAACAATCCAGTGAAGAAACTGAAGCTCAGAGAGGTTCTTTTTTTATCTAAGTTCACACTACTAACAAATGGAAGAGCAGCAGGTTAAACCCAGGTGTTTGACTCTGAAGCCTCTGTTTTTTAAGCACTATATTTTACTGCCTACCAACTTACAGTTAAGGATAGCTGGACTAAAAATAACACCACCTATCTTGCAGGGTTATTGTGAAAATCTCAGACATACTGTATATAAAGCCTAGCACAGTCCTGGCATATGGCATATTTTCAATAAATGGTAATTGCTGTCATTATTTGGGTCCCTTCTAGACCCAAGTTAAAATTATTCAAATACTATTTTAGTAGAGACGAATATTTGATGGCAGAACTTCAAGGACCAATTCTACCTTCATAAATACCAATTAAAAAATTCTAACTTTCTAATCTTATTATTTGGAGATTATCTCTACTCTCACCAACGTACCCAGAAAGCATAAGAAACAAAACAAGAAATAAAAGCTAGAAAATAATAGCACACTAGGCTCCAAGTCAACATCAAATGCTTTGCAATTCAACAAAGGGTTGGTGTGAGATACTTACAGCCCAGATTGAGTCCTTGTGAATCTGTGCACAGAACTCCGACAATGGACGGATTCTTCATTCTAGTTCCAGAATCACAGGAAGGATGAAACATATGAAGTGAGAAAATGAATTTAAATAACTATTTTAACACATATAGGCTTCCTATGTGGCAGGCACTGTTGTAAGTGCTTTAAATTGGTATTTCTCAGCTTTTTTTTTTTATTATTATCCAGCCCCCATCCCTCACCTCATGGAGAAAAACTGTTGAATTAAAATGAATTATGAGGCATTGGTGGTTCCTTGGGGGAATTCTCATATCCCATTCGATTCTCAGCCCATGCACCTGTGGGCAAACAGCTGGTGACTTCAAATTGGAAAAGTATAAGAAAGCTTATAAACACCTTGCTCCCACCAGTGTGCCCCAGCTTCCCACTTCCTCTCCAGGAGGCAACCTGTATTAACATGGTTGCTTAAAGCTTGTAACTTAAAACTTAAAGAGTTTTTCAACAGTTGTGTTAGATGAGTTAATATATTAAAGCATGCATTTTCAACAGAGGTGAAAAAAACTTTCATTACAGAGAAATTCATTTAAATTAATTTTTATGAGTCAGAATCGACTCGATAGAGGCTTGCATGTTGCTATAATGCTGAATAAGTTTCAGCAGAGCTTCCAAACTAAGATGGACTAGGAAGAAAGGCCTGGTAATCTATTTCTGAAAATCAGCCAGTGAAAAACCCTATGGATCATAACGGAACCAATCAGCAACCGATCATGGGGACTGTGTGGGACCAGATAGCATTTTGTTCTGTTGTGCATGGGGTCAGCCTGCAGCTAACAACAACCAAAAAAACCAAACCCGTTGCTGTTGAGTCGATTCTGACTCATAAAAATTAATTTAAATGAATTTCTCTGTAATGAAAGTTTTTTTCACTCCTGTTGAAAATGCATGCTTTAATATATGAACTCATCTAAAACAATTGTTGAAAAACTCTTAAGTTTTAAGTAACAAGGTTTAAGCAAGCATGTTAACACGGGTTGCCTCCTGGAGAGGAAGTGGGAAGCTGGGGCACACTGGCGGGAGGAAAGTGTTTATAAGCTTTCTTATACTTTTCCAATTTGAAGTTCACATATACAGCAGTTGCCCTCCAGTAGACTGACTCATGGCGACCCCATGTGTGTGTAAGAGTAGAACTGTGCTCCATAGGGTTTTCGATGGCTGATTTTTTGGAAGTAGATCACCAGGCCTTTCTTCCCATGCATATCTGGGTGGACTCGAACCTCCAACCTTGTTAGCAACCCAGCACGTTAATGTTCACACCACCCAGGGACTGTTTAATCTCACACAGATATTACCTATCCGAAAAAATTAAGAGATGTGTCTTAGCTCCTGAAGCACCAGGTTACCGATTAGTTACGCTATCAGTAGGAGACACCTGTGTGTGTCTATGTTTATATTTCAGGGCTCGATTTTACACACCTTATACATCCTTCCCAAAAGTTAAACCTACTTCTAAAGCTCTTGTAAGAACGACCCTGGCCAGAGTACAGACAATTTCAACATGACAAGCAATCCTGGCCTCCAGTTTGAACCCCGGAGACTCGCTCTGGGACGGGATCTGCGGCGGGAGGTTGGAGGGATTTTAATTCCGGGTTACCGGCCCCGCCCTTAAGTCCCAAGGCAAGGTCTCACGGCCTCATCCCGCCTATAAGCGTTCGCGCGGCTTCCCCAAGACGCTCTGATCGGCACCCGCAGCTCACGCCCTTTGTTCTACTCCAGCCACCCTCGCCAAGACTTCAGGACAGGCCGAAGAGGCCCGCACTACTCACGTGTCCTCCAAGTGCTGCTCCAAGGTCGTCTCCATCCCACCAGCTGTCAAACCCGGGCCTAGTTTCCCGCAGCACGTCGCTTCCTTCTCCACTACAGGCTTTGGGCACCCCGCGATCACATGACGCAAGCTGGGCCCGGATCTGGACGGTGCCTCCACAGGGACAAAATTTATCGGGGCACATCGTCTGCATTCTAAATCCGAAGATGCAATTCTATTTCTACAGTCCTGAGTGGTGACAGGCGCGGTGACCCAGGAGAGGCTCCCCTTGGGAACCGGGCGGGTCGATTTATCCGTCATCCGGGAGAGAAGTCAGCAGCCGGACCTCAGTGCCTCCGTTCCTTGGCCTTTGTCTCAGCGATTTTTAACCTTTGGATTACGGTTCAGTAGACTCCGAGACGCATTAGGGGCCAGATTTAGTTTTAAACTTTCACAATAACCCGGCCAGTCAGTCAGGGTCTGATCTAGTCGCTGGGGCAGATAACGGGGAAGAGAGACACAGGACCGCTGTGAAAGGGCCCACAGGCGTGTAGGGGAAAGACATGCACTCAAGGGATTAAAGGACGAGATGGAATAGGGGTAAAACCGCAAGGTGGGTACTGCTAAAATGTAGGAGTTTTAATGAAGACATCGATACTTCTGATGGGAGGGCTTGGGAAAGTTTGGGGAGGAAAGTGGTATCTGAGTCCTAACTCGTAAAGAAGACTGCGAAGCGCTACTTAACAATAACTTCAAAATTTTTAATTATAAAAGCAGTTTAAAAAAAAATAACAGTAAGGCAAGGAAATCATCCATAGTCTTACTATTAATCCCTTGGAGAATATCTTTTCAGACGTTTATCTTTACAAATGCATATTTTATTTATTTATTTTAAGCAAAATTGACACATACTTGACTTACAATTCTGTAGCTAGCTCTTTTCGCTGAATTTAGCATAAATTTTTTTTATGTCAATTTGTATTCATTTACATCCTTTCTAATAGTTGTAAAATGTTCCATGATATAGCTGTACCTTTAATTAATGTACAGTGAGGCTGCCTATAGTTTGTGTGTGTATGCGTGTTGGCTGTTCCAATGCTGAGTATCCCCATAAGCCTCTACCCACTCCTGTCCTTAACGTCCTCGTCACATCACTCCTTGCTCTACTTTCCCTCCAGCCTTCTCCTTAGAAAATGTAAGTAGTGACTATTTGAAGTTAAGTTTGTGCCAGTTGAGCTCAGGAAGCCCGCCTGCTTCCTGTCCAAGTCATGCCCAGGAAAGGGCCTCACTGCAGTACCGCCCCCTTGTGGTCCCATGCTTTGTGAAAATTTTGCTGGGCTAAACCAAAAACCAAACCAAGCCCGTTACCATGAGTATTGCTGGACTAGGGCTTCCCAAACCACCCCCCACCAAAAAAAAACAAAAACAAAAACAAAAAACCCCAAACCCATAGCTGTCTAGTGGATTCCGACTCATAGTGACCACATAGGACAGAGTAGAACTGTCCCATAGGGTTTCTAAGAGGAGCTGGTAAATTCAAACTGCAGACCTATTGGTTAACAGTTGAATTCTTAACCACTGCACCACCAGGGCTCCGAATAGAAACATAATGTGAGCCACATATGTAATCCTAAATGTTCTGGTAGCCACATTAAAGAAAGTAAAAAGTAAAATTAATTTTAGTAATGTATTAATATATCCAAAATATGGTCACTTCAACAAGTAATTGACATAAAATATGAATGAGATATTTTTCATTATTTTTTATACTAAATCTGGTATATATTTTACACTAACAGCATATCTCAATTTGGACTAGCCATAATTCAAGTGCTCAGTAGCTACAGGTAGGCTGGTGGCTACCATATTGGCCAGCACAGCTCCAGGGTATCTCTGATGAACTCAAAGCCAAAAGAATAATTAAAGGATTCCCAGAAAGACTGGTGATCACTTTTAAGCTGTAGGAAAGGCCTTTGGAGAGAAAATGAGAAAGTAGGAAGAGGGATGACAGCTGATCTACACATCCTTGCCACACTGGAGGAGGAGGGCAGGGCACTCCATACACCCCTCTTTCTCTGCCTTGTTGCTGTTCTGTTCCTGGGCAGGTTGACAGAGTGAACAGAATAGCTAACATAAGCTGGGGAGGTGTAGGGGCTGGGGAGGAGGTGTCTAATCCCTAATTGTTTTCTACATTTTTTTTAAACTTGTGGGATATTTGATGATTCTTAATTCTCAGTTTTGAGTGCTGGTAATCACTTCTGGGGTGAGAGGAAAAGTCCCATGACACCTTGTTATGAATTTGAGATACTTAAAATGGAGTTACATGGGCACCAGATGGTAAGTCTCCGTTCAACAAGAGACCACACAGAGGAACTGAAAATGACAAGTTTATTACAGGTCCTAGGGGAAGCACAGGGCACACCCAAAGGCCACACAGTGAGGTCATGGCAGGGACAGGGAGAGAACACAGACTTGGGTTCAAGCCTTTATTAGGGCCCCAGGGTAGGGGGCGTTAAGGTTCCTGGGCTTTTGTTGGATTGGTCAGTTTGAAGGAAAAGAGTGGGATCTGATCTAAAGGGGGGCAGGAGGGGCGTTGCGGGGAGTTGTTGGTCACACGAGTTGCTGGGGAAGCCACATCAGGAGCTGGCATGTGCTTGTGTTTCTGTGGGCTGCTATCCAGGGCACGCATTGGCATGAATGAGCAGAGTAAGTCAGCCAGCTTGTTGTTTTATGCTGGACACGACATGCCAAGGCAGCAGCTGAAATGGAGTTGTAGCAAAACTCATGACAATCTGTCCTGTGATGCTTTGGCATCAGATATTAAAATTACATTTATGACTTGGGTGGCTGAAATAGTGAAAGGCATTGATACAGCTTTTTAAAGACATTGTAGGGTGCACTTAATTAGAGCAGTGAGCATGAAACCTAGGATGAACAGGCTTGCAGTATTCTGGAAGCCAGTTTGTAGCCATTGGCCCCACGTACATGGGGAAAGCCATGAAAACAGGTTTGAAACCTCAGGGAGCGTGGGGATTTGTTGGAATATTTCAGCTGTATTGTGCATAACTTTACTATCTTGAGATATTCCCTTGAGTAGTGTGGCCACTTGCCCTGTGTTGTTAATCTACATACAGCACAAAGTGCCTTGAACAGAACACACTCCTCCTTGACTGACCAATGGATAATCTAAGGCTAGTCAATTATCAGTTATCACCTGAGCCAGGGAACTATGCCCTTGCATGCTCAGTCCTAATGTTTTGGTTGTTTTTTTTCCATGTAGGCCATCAGAGTTTGGAACATCTGTTGATTAGCTTTGATAATTGGTGATTGGGTTGCTAAAGCAGCTACTCCAGTTGCCGTTCCCGTTACTCCTAGGATGATGGCTATTATGCCAATGATGGGTACAAATACAGCTCACCCATGGCGGTGCTTATATGCTGGGGGGTAGCCCCAGGGTGTGGGAAAACTTGAATAGGAAGGCCAAGGGCCATTGATATACAATGTACAGGGTGCATATTATTGGGCAAAGGTAAGGTGAAATATAATAGTGCCCCTCCTCTGATGCTGGGGCTGCAAAAGATCCTCTAGGTGGCATTAGCCAAGGCATACCATCCTTTAGCTTGTACCCAGATATAATCAAGGCAGAGGTTTGGGACGATGGTTGTTGTGGGCCAGGTGGGCTTTTTGGAGGGGCAGATGTGGAAGGACAATATAACAGTTTTGTCTGGAAATTTTGAAGGCCTGCAACACCCTGATTTTGCCAGGATGGGTGCAACTGTAATTGAGGGGAACTGAGTAGGGCAGGCTTAAGGGCATGCATGGCTGGGATAATTTTATGCAGTTGGCCATGAGGCTTGGCTCTGGATCAGCCTCACGGGCTTGCAGTTGTGGTTCTTGATGGCAAATTCAGCAATTATGAGTATGTAAGGTGTGTGCTGTTACTCAATCAGATGTATGTACATGTTAGGAGTGGCATTAAGAACCTACAAAGTGTGTGATACATAGGAATAAATCTAACCAGGGACGTGAAAACTATAAAACACTGCTGAAAGAGATTAAAGAAGACTTAAATAAAAGGAAAGATGTTCCATGTTCATGAATTGGAAAACTTAATATTGTTAAGATGTCAGTACTACCCAAAGTGATCTATAGATTCATCATGATCCCGAACAAAATTCCAATAGCCTTCTTTACAGAAATAGAAAAACAAATTAACTTTTTATGGAATGGCAGAAGACCCTGAATAGCTAAAGCAATGTTCGAAGACAAGAACAAAGTAGGAAGACTCACATTTCTTGATTTTAAAACATACTATACAGCTTTAGTAATCAAAATAGCCTGGTACTGGTATAACAGTAGACACACAGACCAATAGAATAGAATTGAGAGTTCAGAAATAAACCCACACATCTATGGTCAACGGATTTTTGATAAGGGTGCAAAGTCCATTCGATGGGGAAAGAAGAGTCTCTTCAATAAATGGTGCTGGGAAAACTGGATTTCCACATGCAGAAAAATGAAACAGGACCCATGCCTCATGCTATACACAAAAACAAATGAAAAATGGATTAAGGACCTAAATGTGCAAACTCAAACCATAAGATTCTTAGAAGAAAATGCGGGGGCAATGATATCAGCTTTTAACAATGTATTATCTAGTATAATAACAAAAGCACAAACAGAAAAAGATAAATAGGACCTCATAAAAATTAAAAAATTTGTTCATCAAAGGACTTTACCAAAAAAGTAAAAAGACAAGCTACTGACTGGGAGAATATCTTCAGAAACCATATATCTGATAAGAATCTAATAACCAAAATATATAGAGAATTTTAACAACAACAAAAAGACAACCCAATCTTGAAATGAGCAAAGGACTTGAAAAGACATTTTACCAAAGAGGACATTCAGATGACCACCAGACACATGAAAAGGTGCTCAGCGTCATTACCATCAGAGAGAGATAAATTAAAATCACAATGAGATACCATTTCACTCCCACTAGGATGACTAAGTTACAAAACAGCCAAACAAAAAACCAAAATAATAAATGTTGGTGAGGATGTGGGGAAATTGGAACCCTTATCCATTGCTGGTGGGAATGCAAAATGATAAGAGTCATTGTGGAAAACAATGTGGTGGTTCCTCAAAAAACTAAAAATAGAACTACCATAAGACCCAGCAATTCCACTCCTAGGTATATACCCAAAAGGCTTAAAAGTGGAGACTGAAAAAGAGACTTGTACACCAGTGTTCACTGCAGCACTATTCACAGTAACCATAAGGTAGAAACAACCTAAATGCCCATCAACAGATGAATGAATAAACAAAATGTGGTACGTACATACAATGGAATACTACTCAGTCAGTAGAAGAAATGAAGTCTCGATATATGCTAAAGTATGGATGGAGCTTGAAGACGTTATGCTGAGCGAAATAAGCCAATCACAAAAGGACAAATATTGTATAACCTTGCTTATATGAAAAGACAAATGTACAGAGACCTAAGTTTATTAGTGGTTACCAGGGGCAGGAGGGAGGGGAAAAGGGGGGTTAACAGTGTTGGAAAAATCACATTAAGGGTAGGGTTGCACAGCCGACTATTGTAATCGCTGTAAGTTGTGCACCTGTACAAAGTTGCATTGGTGAAAGTTGCATGATAGATACATTTACAACAATGACAAAAAAAAAAAAAAAGAGTAGAGTAGTTACTGAGGCTGCGTATGCACAACCAAACACCTCATGAGATTTGGTTCCTTGATGTGGAGGTTAGGGGCATTGTTTCATGGGACATCCCATTTAATTGGCCTACTGTGTTTAGTGTTTCTTTTCTACCTCCTGGTTCATT